GTACACTAATTAAGGCGTAGAAATCCGTCGACCACACCACAGACGGTATTTGGTCGGTTCTTGTATATATAGATAGCCGGAGTCGGTGACAATTATTGTTGGGATGTGGGACAGAGTTAGAACTGCTCTCTGCTCGTGCGTAAATATAACGCGCGGTTGTTCCTGGATCGAAGAGAGAATTCTGACGATCGCATTCCGCGCATGGCAAACTTTTATTGTGGTGGAATCTTAAACGCGGGCGCAAAGGATTGAACGGGTGGGAGTTTTCCACAACGGGAGCGCGCTGCGCGCACCAGTTTGGCGCAACGGTAGGGAGAACCCTGGTATTATAAGGCTAGTAATGACGAATTTCCTTTGGTTTATTGAACTGGTCACACTTTCCTATTATCTATTCCTGCGTAACATGTAAATGATGAGGATACGCTTATTCCAGTAAGCTGCTATGTACCACGTCGCACAATGGTGTTTCCCTGCCATAACAAACTTTGTCAAAGTTAATTGGCATTGCATGGAGCGATTTACTTCGTATGTGAGTTATTTCTAGGCTGTAGCACTGCGGTTGCCATCATGTATATCGACGAATAATATATTTATAACAAAATGAATCAACAATTTGTGAAGGTAGATGGCGGACTATACCGCTTTGTAGCCTGCGGTATAGGTTATTGACTGCGTTCCCGACTGTTTTGTAAAAACTTTACTCTAATATATGACGTTTGTATCGGCGCAGGGTGGAGAGGGAAATTACCATTTTGCATTAAAGATAATTGTCAATGAAATCTTGTTAAAACACCAGACAAATGTGACACCACAGACTTTTGTCGTTGCTATAAATATGCTATATAATTGCAAACCCTACCTAATTTAATAATATTTTTTTTAAATATCAAAATCCCCCTAGCCCGTTTATTCAATTCACATACCAAAATGGAAGCAAATCCGTTGAACCTGAACTGACTAATGGCAAATTCCTTCATCTTTTTCCAAAAAATTCGCCGTGGCTCGAAAGTACGTCGATTGTGCGTGCTTCATAGTAGGACGTTTAATATGGAGCATAGCAGTAAACAACTATACCCAATTTGCAAATCTATGTGGAGTCAAACAGTTCCTGAGTTCATCTGTTTGACGTGCCGAAATGGTTGACGGACAGGACGGTACGGCACAGACGACTACGCCGACGGACGGACGGACGGACGGACGGACGTACGACGGACGACGACCCATGGCAATAGCTCAGCTTGACGATGTCAAGGTGAGCTAATAAGCACATAAGTTATTGTTTTAATATCTTTAATTTTGAACCTCAGACTGCGGACTCCCTCATTTTGCTGCGAACTCCCTCTTTTTGAAGGTAGGGAGTCCGTTGGACTCCCATGTTCAAAAGTTAATTTCTACCCCTGTAAATGGCATTTATACTAGACAAGATAAATGATCATGACAGGCGTATGAATTTCTTTTTGTTTGCAGTATATTCCAAGTCCAAATGGAGCCATTTCTGCAATCATAAATTAACAATATATGTTATGACCATGCAGCCATATATCTATATATAGGGGATGAGAGTGAAGCACAACTGATTGATAAGAGAATGAGAGAATGCATCGTTTGCAATTATTTTAGTGGGGTTTGTTCATTAATATTAATATTAAAACCCATTAATTATAACATCAAAGGTCAATATTTACCTCTGTAAACTTAAACGTTCCAACTGAATACTGCCACTGGGGTACGATGTAATGAAGCACACTGTCCATCAATGTGATAAACCTGGCACAAGTTGTATGAAAAGTAGAGATCACCATTAATTTCCATATTGAGATCGAGTCTGTACAATATAGAGCCAATTGAGAGGCAAAAAGGCGATTTGAAAAACGCTGTGGCTTTTCACAAACGCACTAGTCATAAAACGACTGGAACACGTCAAGCTAACGTACAGCACTCTGCTTCTCTAACTAGGTAAATCACTGGCACTTCTAATACACATACTACATTACATAGCAATGTCAATCAGTCCCAGAGATCACGAGATAACACACGGCGTTAAATCTGGAGAGAAGTACTCGTGTATTTTGAATACAGTGAATACAGAATTCAGGTAAGAGTGCAATGTATAGCAATACCGTTGCAGAGCCAGTGCTCTCCTGTATAACATTTCTGTGTCGGCATTCTCTAGTTTGGGATAACGTTTGAGGTTGTCCCTGCAGAATAGGTCGTAGCTTTGTCCTATGTCATGTTCAGGAGATGACTTGATTTTGATGCCATGAATTCTAGTATCTATGCCACTATCTGTGAGAAACAAATGTGTAACAGCTAAGATTTCTAACGAATTTAATGTTTACTTATCTCTATATTTCACACTGTTCTCTGTTTTCTATGTTCCCCATTCACTCGTACAGACAAGACTCAAAGTTACACTTTGAGCAAATAATTAGCTTTTAAAGCAATTAATAAAAGCAATTAATTAGCTTATTACAGTTATTATTTATAGCCGTACTTACCATTATTCGCTTGATCACGGAATTTACTGACAATGAAAGCAACCGTAATGCTATAATCATATAATTACTTCTACTTATGGTTTCCTGCAAATGTAACTTAAGTGTGTATTTATACCAACCTTTGCATTCTTTGATTTTAATTTCAACTATGCTGTAGTAGTCAGACATGTTCTCCAAGATGCAGACATCACCAGTGAATGACCTTGCAAAACAAATTAGAACTTTAAGCTTATGCAAGCTTCATTATATTTTTAAAATGAAGTGTAAAGAAAATGTTTAAACAATATCAAATAATCACTACAGGGAACTTTGATAACCCTAAAGCTTATGTGTCCAGGCAAGCTTTTTTGCAGGGTTATTAAACACACAGTGTATAATGTAATGTACAACTATATCACACGATACCTTTAAGGTGATAACCACAGCACATAAAAACGTGCTTCTGTTATAATTATTGCTGAACTAATTGCAACGTCTGGATTATAAAATTCCATTGTGAAGAGCTACAATTTATCTAGCTGCAGATTTCAGGGCATTTAAAAATCTGCAAACCAATTCATAATGGCAAACAAGAACTCGGAAACATTATTCGATAATAATCATACTTACAAATCAACATGAACGTCATTGAGTTTCTTTGTGTTTCCTAGCTCTCCACCCATAACGACCACCTGATAAGGCATGTAGTTGTCGTCTGCTGCATCCACAGCGATGAACAATTTTCTGTAAGTTTAGTATACATTTTGACCATTATTATTACTCGAGTAACAAAAAGGAGCTGTACATTTTTTGTAGTATTAAATTCTTAACACAACTATATGAAAGATGCGTAATGAAGAATTATTCCAATCCCTATCTAGCTGCTTGCCTGTGCCTTAATTCTCTACTTCTCAAAATACTTTATCCTTTTTTCATATATTTTATTGATTACAATTCTCCAACTTAACACTGGGGATCAGGTGACCTACGTACTTGATAATTATGCCCTTCTTTATTGTGAGACGAATCCAGTGTTCACCCTGACTACCGTCACTCTCCCAGCATGTTTCCGGGTCTCCATCCGTTAATCCCTTCACTGGATCTAAATCCTACAGCAAAGGAAGATAGCAAATGAGGCCTACAATAAATTTATAAATGGTGATTAAAAGAATAATAATTATAAAATAAAGAACAATAAGATGAATAGCAGCTGCATAACAGATTAATTAGAGGAATTAATGTTCTATTATTTGTGTGTAAAAATTGTCTTCCCATTGTCACCTGTAATCTGTCAGGATATCTAATTAATTACAACGTCATTTCCATAACCAGCACATATGCACCTATATATGTATTCCCACTGTAAATCCATGTCATTAATCTACATATTACACAACCACCATCAAAGAGCCCCTCTGCCCTTCGCAGCAAAATCTATTCTCGTTCGAATATATTTGCCCCGTTACTGCCAACAACCGATAGCGCCACTCAATATATATATATATATATATATATTATATATAGCTACTCTATATCCTCTAGAGATTCGGTGAAGACTTTCGTCGAGGCCGACAGCACACGTACGCAGTAAGAGGAGACTTCGATGGCGTCGACATAGTTCCTCACGCTGCCGAGGTACTCGTTGTCGCTGTTGCTGTGCTCGCAGAGAAACTTCACCAGCTCCTCATCGTAGTCGACGCCCCACGACGCCGGCGTGTGCCGCAGTCGCTTCACCGCTTCGACACACGATGGCGCCACCACTGCATTGTCGCACCTACCGCGCTTCAGCGAGTAGTGGTGCGTGACCACGTCCTCCCACCTGCGAGCGTGCCAATTAACATAGTCAACCGCTTGTAAAATAGCATGTTGAAGCACAATTAAATCATGACATAAAAACAAGCTACGAGTTATTGTTGCTGTCCTAGGTGCCACTATTATAGCGAGCTTAAAATGACTATGCAATAGTGGATGGATGGATAAAAAACAAGCTTAGACCTTTGGAAAAGTGGCTGAAGCATAGGAGATAGGAGATCAAGATCAATACACACACACGCACACACACATATATAGGTATCATTAAAGTGATATATCCACAACAGTTCTATAATAGCTTGATATATGTATGATAACTTTGAACACAGCTGTAGCAACCTACTTGTTGATGACTGGTGTTGGTCGGCATCTATAGACTATAGACGTCTTAGGAGTAGGTTTATAGACGTGGAGTAGAGGTTCCTCAGCCGAGCCACTCGTGCCAGTACGACAACCAACCAGCAGCAGCCACGCGTCATCAGGGAGTGAGTAGACATCGGTCTCAGCACCACTGGTTGAATACTTGCAACACAAGAGTGAAAACAGTTTGGGTATTATCGCGAGCACATGTATAGTCTGCATATACTATATAGAGTATTCATATAAATATGAGCATACATATGCATATTGCAGTGTTTCCCCTGGGCAAAATGGTCAGCGAGGCGGTAAAATATTGTTTGGTGGTTGCGCAATCTGAGAAGCGAGCAATGCGATCACCTTCTAGGGGGGTGCGGGGAAATGCTCCCCCAAAAATAAAATAAAAGGTGCAATTTGGTGCATTCTAAGCTATTCTAAACACATTATATGAGACTCTTGAATCATTTTTTCAAGTTGTCAAAAGGAACAAACAAGCTTCTGGGAAAGGTTTTACTTTCGTTTTACTCCTCCCCAGTCCTGGGTGCCCCCATGCATAGATAAATGTTGTTGTTGTTGTGTTGTTTTCGGTTTCTTTATTTTATACTGGACTCAAGGGTTTAAATCCACATCAGTGGAAACCCACTCCAGGAATCTGGCTCGGTCCAGTTTTGGCAGCTCTCACGCTTGTTCTCCATGTGACACGATCCAAGGGGTCTACAGCGGAGAGATTCCACTGTTCCCTATCCTTCTTCACAACCTCCTTCCAAGACATCTTCGGCCTCCCACGTCTCCTTACACCAACAATTCGAACTTTACCCACTGTCTTGATGGCACCTGTGGAGCGCTGAACATGGCCATACCAGCGGAGTCTTCTCTCACGTAATAAGACATCAAGGTCCAAGATACCCAGTCTGCCCAGCAGCTCGTTTGAAGGGGCCAAATCCTCGATTGTGACATTGCAGATCCATCTGATCATTGCCCTGTCATTTCGCCGGAGGCGTTGCAAGTCAACAGATTTCACTGCCCATGTCTCGCTCCCGTGCAGCATGGCGCTACGGACACAGGTGCCATACACATGACCACGAGTCCTGAGGGACAGATGTCGAGATGTCAGGACAGGAAGCAGCTTCCGAAACTTCCCCTAGGCGGTCTTTGCTCTAATGATAGTGGCTAAATCACAGCAACCACCCGCCGAGAGAGTATCACCAAGGTAGCAGAAGGAGGGTACCACCTCCAGTTTGTCCTGCCCAATCTGCACCTCTAACAGTGGTCTGCCATCAAATGGGCGGGCATCGCCCATGCACCGCTTGCAACGGAAATCCGGGTCGTCATTGAGTCGGCCTTTTATGCCACTACACTTCTTATGTACCCAGTGTGCACAACCGCGACAGCGGACGGAATTACTCCCAACACCCTTCCTGCACACAACGCAGGGGTACTTCCCGGAGTCTTCCAAGAGGTCAAGTTCAGCACCACAAATCATGATCTTCGTCTTGCCCATATTCACTCTGAGGCCCTTCTCCTCCATGCCAGCCTTCCACACTTCCAGCCTTGCCATGCATTCTTCCAAGGAATCTGCTATAATCACCAAGTCATCAGCGTAGAGATCTTCCCAGGGGACGCCAGCACGGAACTCCCGCGAAAGGGCCTCCAGTACCATGATGAACAGGAGGGGGCTCAGCACCGACCCTTGATGGACTCCCACCTTTACCTCAAACTCCTCCGAGAAACCACCACCGACACGCACACGACTACGAGTGTTGGTGTACATGCCCTGCACCAACCTCACGATCCACTCGTCTGTCCCAAGCTTCCTCATCGCCCACCACAGCACTTGTCTCGGGACTCTGTCGAACGCTTTTTCCAGGTCCACAAAGGCTAAGTAAAGCTTCTTGTTGGCGGCCAGGTATTTCTCCTGCAGTTGACGGACAACAAAGATACCATCTGAAGTTCCCCTGCCCGGCATAAAGCCAAACTGAGATTCATCAATCGATATCAGTTGCCGGATAGAATTGTCCACCACTCTCTCCAGCACCTTCAAGGCCTGTTCAGTCAGCTTTAAACCACGATAATTACCCCTGTCTAGAGCATCACCCTTACCCTTGTGCAGGTTAAAAATATGCTGCCGCATATCCGCAAAGTTACAAGTGCCTAGAATCTTGAACTATATACAGTTTAGATTGCTTCTAGATATCCAACTGAATAAAAATTGTCGACTTCAGTGCCGAATTCAGTTAACAGCTTTGATTACGTGTGTGTCAGCAGGGCTCAATTTTAACAGTCGTCCAGTCGTCCGTGACGACTGGATTTTCTCTCGGGCAACTACAAATTGCTTCCGTGGTTGTCCGGTGTCCAACCTCTATAAAAAATTTATATTCATAAAGGCGAGCGCACACCTACCCAGAAATCGGTCCGATTAAAAAATCTCTTCATCGTTTGTAAAATCGGCTCAGCGCGACGCCTTCCGATAAACACCCGCACACCTACGATAAAATTGGTTATTTTGTCGATGGTAGGCGCAATTTTGAATGTCATGTGACACGGGCACGTTCAGCTATTGGCGGTTCCAAAAATCGCTTCAAAATAATCGGTTCAAAATCAAACATGTTTGATTTGGAACGATCACCCGATAAAAATATTTGTAAGTAAAATCGTCTACAAATGAACGCGCACACCTACCCGATATCGGCTGATTTTTATCGGGCCGATCAATCGCGTGAAAAATCGGCTGGTGTGCGCCGGCCTTAATGCGCACGTTCATTTTACATACGGCCAGAGTTGCACAATACGCTGCAAACGTACATGTCTAGACGCATTGTCTGGCTTGCTTGATACAAAGTATAACATCAGGTGTTTAAAGTGTGTACCGCGAGTTTTTTGGCTCAGAAAAACGAAATATAGCAGAATATAGTCTCACCTGACAGTGGAAATATCACTGATTATACCAACATTCAAAACACCGAAGATTTTATGCAGTTATAGCATAGAACAAGTGCCGCGGAGCGACAGCGCTCATCTAACGTCTACTGCGGTGACTCTTGGTGGAGTGTGGGATTCTAGTAAACCCTGTTAGTCCCAAATGTGTTCACATACACGCCGAAACAGTGGAATGCACAGGATGGTATCAGCAGAACCTTCTCAAAGGAATGTTCGTTGGATCGTTATGAAAGTTGCCACGAGATGGCGCGTACGTTTAAGTGTCTTCAGATTTTAGATGGAAGCTCCCATCGTACGTAGTAGCAAACAACTATTGCAAGACAGAATAGGTAAGCACTCATCCATATACCTACGCAAGCCTACACGGCTGCAATAGAGAGCTGCCACCTGTAACCAATTAACGCAGGCAAAAAACTACACAGTACCACCACCACATATGCACTGGCAGTGGCCACTGCCAGTGTGCATACTGTTACATGTAACATACTGACAGTACAGAATGACATAAGAAATTATACGATTTAAGGAGCATAAACCTTCTTAATCACCAAATTTAGCTTTTTTGAAAATTTCACTGTGACATTGTAGCCTCATACATCCAGACATGTATAGATTCTACTAGCAACCCGGCAGTCAAATTCCTTTCTAACAGACAGTAAACAAAATCCATGTTTAACCCTCCTCTGAGGGTCAAAAGGTTATCGACACTTACTCTTCGCAGTCAGAGAAAGTAGATTTCATGGTCCTTTCAATAAAGCCATAAAAAATTAAAAATGACTAGGTCACGCGCTGAAACAAAAAAGTTTTCACATCGCTCCGTCAGACCATGTCCTCAGAAAATGTCTAAAATCTGCCCTGTGCCCCATTGACCTTTGACCTGTGACCTCCAATTTCGGCACAGTGATGGCTTTTCCTACCATGATGCTATACACCGATACCACGAGCCTAGGTCGAGCCGTTTGGATTTGTGCCGCCAATTCTGCATTTCCTCCTATACCTTAAGTTAAGGAGGGAATGTTCCCCCTTCTTTTACACCTATTGACCCCCAGCTTAGACATCCCAACTCGTTTGACGATCCTCAGGACGTCCCGAATATCGGATCCGTACGTGTCGAGCGGTTAAGATTTGTGCCCAACTGTTGACGGACGGCGGACGCACGAACCGGGACGGGACGGACAATCGTGCGATTCTACAAGCTGCATCTGACTTCGTCAGCATGAGCTAAAAATTTATTTGACCACATTATACCAGCAATAAATTTCCGAGTAGTGACTCTCAAAAATTACAAATGGCGTCTCAAAAAAGCGAACATAATTAAAACAAAAAGGGCGTGCATTCTGTTTAATAAAATATTATTGGGTTTTTATGTCAATAATTCAGAGCACTTTCTGTCATTGTCATTCCCCCTTGTTATACTATCTGACAGGCAATCCACAAGCTTCTCTAATAACAGACTTTACGTGGCATTAGTACTACACTGCTGTTTACGCTAGTATGAGCGGCCTGTGTTTACACTCTGACCTGATTTCTACGGTGCTGGTATGATGCTGCACCGTGATAGATGTTCTCGCGCTACCACGAGGAAAATTCGAGAGATGGCAACGGTAAACAGAAACAGAACACAAAATTGTTAATCGTGCATGATTTCATTGGAATTTGGTGAATACGAAAGTTCCAAGACATTTTATCGTTACTCTAGACAATTGCTGTTACTCAAGCAATAACGTAGGTAGATCATGAAAGTGGGAAAACACTAGAAAATTCTCGCGCGGTACACACTTTAACAACACAATGTTTCGTGTTAATTTTTCAATTTTTAATTTTTAATTTTCAATTTTTAATTTTTAAGTCACTCATCTGTGACTTGACACAGTGTTAGTAATGTTAGTAATGTTAGTAGTGTTATAGTTAACTTAATGTAAATGTTATGAAATAAATTTCATGCAACTTTTAATTACTATTATTATACGTCATTGACCCAGCAATCATTTACCACATTACAATATTTTATTCTCTCATATAATGAGTGAAACAATGCGAATGGCCATGTTGCTGTCACTGCAATACGTACAAAATGTACATGATTAGGCATTTTGCTTTACAGCACTGAGCGATCACGTGAGCAGAGCGCATGCAGCACATGTTTAAATAATATCCGGACAACCAAAACTCTTGAGGGACAACCATATGCTACTCTCTTGGTTGTCCTTGACAACCCAAAAAAAAATCTTAAAATTGAGCACTGTGTCAGGTGTCACTGGTTGTGCCCTCACTCTCCACGATAACCCCTGTGACATATGAACTTATTGTTATGCGGTCATAAAAACACTGGGCTACGCTACAGGCTGCAATCGATTTCTTAGACTGTCACGAGGTTTTGTTTGTGTGGCGAATCATGCGTTGAGGGAGTTCATGCTCTCGGCTCTAGATGTTTTGGATATCCCGTCTACGTTCAGGAACATAGCGTATTTAGAATGCTGTTTACGTTTTATTGCTCCCGTTTACAAGTCTGTCTAAACTGCTGTTGCGATAACCGTAGTATTTCAGCGTAATATGAGGGGAAAAGTTGCCGGTCTGAGGCACCAGCCAGTTTCGCATAGATGGTGCCGAAGCAAAAACTTGGTGGCTTGTGTGCCCAACTTGGAATCTTGCACAAACTTGGAATTTCAGCGCATCCGCAGTTTGGGCAACCAATCTTTTGAGATTGGGCAAACATATGTATATATTAGGATTTCAAATGTTATAATCATAACTATAAGTCGTATACCTTCTTTCCTCAATGTGTTGGCACCTTTGTATAAATATTAAAATGATTAAATAAATATTGGATAAGATTTAATATGAGATAAATCTCTTCCTAGTTTGACACGCACACCACACACTCGCTATGAGCGGTTGTTGATCACCAACTGTTTTCAGTTTGCCCAATCTGAGATGGTCAGCCAAACTAGGGAATCCGGAGTTTGGGCAGCACAATCGCTGCCACAATCTCGAGATTGTGCAGATTCCAAGTTTGGGTACAACAGCTTCGGTCCTCCGGGTCGGCACTAATTTGGAACGCTGTCAATAAAGTGTAGTTTATGATGGAAAACAGTGATTTTTCGCAGCAAGGCGGTTTTTGATAAATTTCTGCGTGGCGGGTGAGATTTGAGTGAGGTGGCCGCCTCACTCATGTCAATGAATTTTGCGATCGCGCTTTCCTACCTGCTATATATATAAGGTAAGCTGCAACAAGTCGCGCCGGCGCTAAAGCAATGGTTGGAACGTAGGATTTGACGAATTTGCAGGAAACTGTCGGCAATAACAATAATAGGTAAAAGAGAGTATAGAAACATTAAGAATTTGGTAGTAAATAGATTTCGTATTTAGTTAGCATTATATTTTATTGAAACGCTTCAAGTGCCTGTGACGCAGCTTTAACAATATAATATTTTCAATTTCAACCGCTTTAGACTACATAGTTCTAACATTAGATTATCCTCAAGTTCTCATATGTCTATAGTTGAACTCGTAACTATTACTTTTAGCAACTTAATCCACTGTCCTTCGTTGTTACAGTATTCCTCCCCTGATGCATAAAATGTCCAATGAGGTGTACATGGTAAGGGAAGCTGATCACATGCTCTCGGACTGGACTTGCACGGTTGGGAATGTAACAAGAACTTTCCAGTAAATTGAACTCCTGGCTTTAACCTATATAATAACTCTTTTGGTACATAGCAGAAATGTTCGGGTAAATCTGAGTTAGTGCTAAAACATTCTATACACTCCTTTAAACATTTTAACCGAGCGAATACACGACGATTCTCATCTAATTTCATGACTTCTTCTTGCTGGAGGGTAGATGGTCACACTGACGCTTTACGCAGTCTTTACATTGTTAGTTACTAGGGTGAAGAAACTTGGGACCAGTCTAGCTTGACATGCCCCAACGCGCAACCGGTAGTTAGATGCGATATGATATGACTACTAGGCACTTTAATTTAATTTTTTTTTTTTTTTTAGGGTTAGGGTTAGGGTTTAGGTTAGGGTTAGGGTTAGGGTTTTTTTTTTTTAACTGCCGGGTGCCCCCAACGCCAATATTTTGCAACGGAGGCACGACATACTACAATAACGGATGGTCTATTGTCATAAACTCATCATGGCAGAAAATGATTACGATTTTGATGATCTGGAACCATTGGAGCAAAGTTTGAAAAATGTTATTGAACAGAAATCGTTAAAATGGATATTTGTCGGTGGGAAAGGAGGTGTTGGAAAGACAACATGCAGGTGATTACTTAAGATGGACAAACAGTGACAAAGTAGTTATGATAGTTTAAACTCCGGTGACGGCTGACGTGTGTATTCGCACAGGCATTTGGCGTTTGCCGATTTGGAACTTAACTAGACCAATAAATTGCGCCCTAAAATTTTTTATATTCTGATGTTATTTTATGGCCCAATAGCCTTCAATAGACAAAACCTGTGAATTTTGTCGTGCAAAATGCACAGTGAAGTGAGAACAGTGAGCCCCATAATATACTTTTTGATATCGCGCGCATTTACTAAAATTTACACCCCAAATTGAGCAATGCGAACTCATGATTTATCTTGTTTATGATGATCATGAAAATCGCATCTTTAAAGAAATACCAGAAGATACGACATTTCTCACCGGCCAATGAAATCATCGCTGTCCGGTGCGGTTCAATGCAAGATTGCCAGTTTTGTTTGTAGCGAAGTTTGCGTGATTTTTATGTTGTGATGTGTCAGAGAATACTGCATGACAAGTGTTTTGTAATGTAGGTAAGATGTTAATAAAGCGACGGCTTTAGGTATTTCTTTGATTTTCTAGTTGTTAACACGGAGCCATAATTAGTTGAAGAAGGTTGTCCTGATTTTGCACGCGCGCAAAATTCACAGGTTTTGTCTATGGAAGGCTATTGCCGTATTGGGCCCTAAAGATAACATCGCGAATATTAAAAATGTTTTAAGGGCCACAATTTATTGGTCTACTTGGGAACCAGTGCTTCGAAAATTCACGTCGGGCCCGTCGGACCCGCCGCCGACGTTTCTGTCCGGCGCTAACAGCTTCTTGATATAACAGGCCCGCTGATTCTCTTACAAGCTATTTAATCACCGTAAATTTCGATAACACTGCTAGAAACTGTTACCTGTAGAAATTCGTGCTTCACGCATGATTAACTTCAGGGGTATTTTATTGAAAACTAATCCGTGATAAACGTGACATACATGTAAACAAATGCGTTCGCCCACTGCCAATCAATTTAGTTGGCATTCAAGAAACCGCGCCGTGGATGTTCGGACGCACAGCGGAAGCACAGGCTTCCTGAATCCAGATGAGAGGGCGATACTAGAGAAGCGTTGCCGAAAGGAGGTGTTTATCCGAAGTGGCTGCCGCGATCTTGCGCGCAGTTCCGCCGGCAAGGGCGCACGCGTGACCGCGGGAAAATTCCTACGACAGTTATGCAGCGCTGGCAGCTATTGGATCCGTGCGCGAATGCATTAGGCCTGCGCACGAATCCATAGCTGCAGCGGAACAGTCCGGCAATTTTAGTGGGGGACAACAGAGGGCAGACATTTGGAACGTGAACACGTGTTCACTTGTTTATAAAACATTGTAACGAGTAATGTGTTCCTAACGAGCTGGTGTCCACGGCGAAATCACAGAAAGGGATGTAGAAATTCTGACATTCGCGAACCTTGCCCCAGTAATGGAAATGGCTGTCAGAATCAGGAAAAACCTACCGGCGCTCTTCGTGACCTCATTGTTGCGCGCCCAAACGCTGGAACGTTTTTTTGCAACGTTCAATGGCGCGGGCTCGTACAGGAGTTGCGCAAAGCAGCTGCGCCGCCTGGCCCGCGCCTAAGCCCATTAGACTGGCGACTCGCTCCCACCTCTCGGCTTAGCTTAGTCCATCGATGGCTAATCGAGGTGGTGGAGCGAGGTCCTAGTCGTATTGCCTTTGCACCTTCGCAACCTTCTCGACGGAAGAAGAGCTGGCTAACTAGAAACATTAAGAATTTTGGTAAGTAATAGATTTCGTATTTAGTTAGCATTTATATTTTATTCTGAAACGTTCAAGGTGCCTGTGTCTAGTATAGGGGGTATTCTACCCTAGCAAAGAGGTTTCTTGGAGCTAGTAGTATACTATGTATAGTAGTACTAGTACTAGCTAATTAGTAATACTATTACTATTTAGCTCCTGCCGTCCTAGGTAGAGTACATATACTATAGTACTAGTAGTGCTGGTAACTTTAGTAGTACTATACTACTAGTAGTAGTACTTAATTACTAGTATATTATTGTAACTGTATTGTTATATAGAGTATTCGTAGTGTGCGAATGTACCAAAGTCTAAGTTATTAGCCGCCCGAGCAACAACTGCCGAACTGTAAACACTATCAATGAACCGGGCTTAGCGCAATGAACGTGACAGCGGAAGCCAAGATGGCTAGAATAATTAAACAGCCGCACGTCTACCATTCCAGCCTAGACTCGTACGCGGCCTTAACTCGGCCAAGTATCTTCGCTACACTAAAGTTATATGTTAGTGGAGCGTGTCAACTCTCCACCGCGGGGCAGTACTTAAGCCTATTCGCCGTTACTTGCGTCTCATTCAATTCCCATGGGAAAATCCCTCGAAGAGAGCCTCGTCGCGTCCATCTATGGACGCCTATAATGTACGGAATAACTTGCAGCGTTATTAAATAAAATAATGTAAATAATTCGAAATCGGCTTTTCTAGAGGAAAACCTAACTGCGCCAAACCCAGCAAGTTTAGCCAATACGTAAGGCATTTGCATTTATTCTCCGGCCCCGTAACCGTGCATATGTCGAAGGCTTTCTGCATAGCGCCACAACGCCTCAATTGACCGATTACCAGGCCGTATCTGACAGACGCGTTGAAATTGTTCTAAATAGAGAGGCAGCGAATTCGATGCAAAAGGCGCGCACGAGCGGCGCTGTTCGCGCTCTCGCGCGGATAACCGGCTGCAGATCGCTCCCAGTAGCAGCGTGGCATACCAAAAATCGATAGAGAAGTGGAGCTCTTACTTTTGGCTAGTGGTAGTAAACCCTACATTGTCACACCTTGTGTTGGCCAGGGTTTATTTACGTGCCACCGGATGGTGCAGGCACGCTCACTGCTTCACGTGCGCTAGGTTCGTGGTAGTAAGTTCCCCCCTTTCAACATCCCCTGACGCATTTTTCACGTTTGGATGTAAATCAATAAAGTATCACTGGTAGTTATTACCAAACAATCAGTATACTGTTTTTAAACATAATTTAAGAAGATATAGGTAATATATCATTGAATATACAGTAAGTAATAATTGTCTCAAGTTTTAACACACATGTCATAAGTCACTGTAGCTGCAAAGCACGTTGTATTACTTACTAGTCATGCAAACAGCAGTACAGCCCCGTCGCACCACTCAGGTTTAACCGTGTGATATTGTTTTTAACGTTTGGAAAAACTATATATACATTTTATACAGGGTGTAGCTAAATAAAAGCTTCCCTACGTAAGAGCTTGTATGTCTGCAAAATACATTTACCCTGGACACACTCAACACAGACGGAATTCCCCAATGACCATCAAAATTTTACAGTAGGTAAATTTTACATAATTTTTTCCTTTTCCACCAAAAAGTGTTGCTAGTTGTAAGCTAATCCTGCAGGAAATTCTACAGTTCTCCATGAAAATGTAAAGAGGACGAGATGTCTGTTTATACACGAGTAATGGGGCGCATTGCATGCCGGGATGAGCTGCTGCATGCCTTCGAGCCTCCGTTTCGAGGCCCGCCAAGCCAAGCATAATGCACGCGGGCATGACGTCACACACACACGACTACAGTGATTGGTCGAAAGATCGAGTAGCGCCATTAGGGATTTTCTGATGATACGTCCTCTACATTTTCACGGAGAGAACATTTCCTACAGGATTTCACAAGATATCTCTGGCGGGAGTAGGTAAGAACAAAGGACAGGGTTATAATTCGATCAAGTGAACATTTAGCTACACATAGATACCAAGATGGAGTCTGTTGTTTGTGTGTTTGTGCTGTGAAGGTGTGAAATGAAGCGAGTGTCGAGCGAATTTTGGGATCACGCTTTCCTACAGGTCTGCTCTATTATTCATGTTGTTTGTGCACAGGGCGTACGTGCGGTGTACTTGTGTGTTGCAGATGAGCATTTGACCGGCATTTACGGGTAATTATCGGCAATAATAAGTGAAATAGAGTAGAGAAACATTAAGACTTTGGTAGTAAATACATTTCGTGTTTATTTACCTTTTTTTAGCTCATCTGACATAGTCAGATGCAGCTTGTAGAATCGCATGATCGTGCGTCCGTCCGTGTGTCCGTCCGTGCGTGCGTCAACAGTTGGGCACAAATCTTAACCGCTCGACGTACGGTCACGATATTTGGCACATCGGGGGGGATCATCAAAACGAGTTGGGATGTCGAAGCTGGGGGTCAAAGGTCAAAGGTCAAAGGTCAAGAGGTGTAAAAGCAAACCCGGAGGATTACCTTCACCTGATGACTATGGCTGGTTATTTGGTGAAGGACAGTACAGGCTGTCACAGACAACCGCTGCCGCCGTGCCCCAGCAAGCAGTTTGATTCAATCTCGTCAGTAATAGCATTGCCAATATATGATATGTTTGATGAGACACAAGATACAAAAAAATTATGTATATATAGACATATTAGGTATGGTTGCGCTGACATAATAAAATTAGCAATGTATAAATCATGGCTATGACGGCCATGATTGACACATTATATTGTGACTACAGGGCTCCGTGCTAAATCACAGTGTTCATC